GGGAGGTTGGGGGTAGCGGGTGTGGGGGAGCCGGCTGTCAATCAGAGCGGCCAGGCCCCGCCCCCTCCGCCTTCGGGTGAACTACCTTGGAAGCCGCGTCGAGGCGTCGCCTCATTTTTAAAAACTACATTTATTCGTTAAAATATATTTATAAATTAATAATATCAAAGGGACTCACCTCCCCTCCCCCAACACTACCGCCACTATCTCGGGGTGAAGGTGCTGGGGAGAGGGAGAGAGGCAGGGGCCGGCACCCCTCCCCTCCCCCCACTTAACCACCTCACGGGTTCGGGAGCCGGCGTCCCCTCAGACACGCCGCCATTTCTCTCCTTACAAAAACTACTCGGCGCTGCGCTGTAACGCCCGCTCCGATTGGCCAGGCGTGAGGTCATCCGTTGTAGTGGGGCATGGCGGAAGTTGTAGTTCTCCTTCTCCGCCCCCCCTCCTTTTGATCTAGGGCGGTGCGACCGTCACGGGACTACATTCTCCAGAATGCTACCTTCATAGCTCCCCCCCACCCACTTAGCCTCATTGATTTTGAGAGGTATTGAGTTATGAGCAATGTCTAATAGGTTTTCATGGAACATTACAGTTCTGTTGCTTTTTGCTGCAAAGTCCGTACGGTGTTGTACTTGGATTTATTCGTAAATCCTGTCTTAGCAAAAAGTTATACTTTGGAAATATAAACATCATTTGACACTAAAACGTTAAGGTTGCTGACAGATTGTTTCCCCTCAGGGGAGTCTGGAACTCACTGCATGCAAGGGTGGTATCGAATCAGAAACCTTCCAAGTTTAAGTAGTACTTAGATGTATGTTAGATACCAAAACTACAGCCCAAGCACTGGGAAATGGGATGGGGTTGCTGTTTTGACCAGTGCAGTTTCAATAGGGCAAAGGACCATTTTTGTGTTGTAGACCTCCATGAGCTGAGGGCATAATTTCAGCCCAGGGATCACACATTAAGACAGAGGTGAGAATTTCTTCTGTCAAATGATGATGAATCAATACATTTTTCACTGCAGAGACTGGGTCTTTAAAACTCAGATTGATGATTAAAAGTCTGTCCGTCAGTTATGATGGTATTTGCATCCTCCTTTGTGAACACCTACCCACAATATCTGATATAACAAGGTGTACAGCTGGATGAACACAGCAGGCCAAGCAGCATCAGAGGAGCAGGAAGGCTGAGGTTTCGGGCCTAGACCCTGCTTCATCCAGCTCTACACCTTGTTATCTCAGATTCTCCAGCATCTGCAGTTCCTACCAACTCTAGCCACAATATGTGTTTAGTTAATCAGACATTTCTTTGATCCCCAGCATAAAGTTCCCTGATTCTGCCTAAATTGTCCTCACCAATCTCTTTCTCTTCACATTCCTTTAGAAACTTTTACAGTTAATATCTATGCTTCCCAGAAGACAACGGTCTTACTCTATTTTCCCTTAAGTCAGTCCCTTTGTCCTTCTTTGCTGAATTCCAAACTGCTCTCATTCCTCAGGCATTTTTTTTTTCTGGCCAGTATGGATGCCTCTTCTCTAGCTACAAGACCATCTCTAATTTGCATTATAAACCAATACACCTTTCACGTTTCACTTTTGTGCCAGACATTCCCCTTGAATGTGCGCCAAGGCTTTCCGAGTAGCACCCCCCAATCTACCATAGCCAACTACTATTACCATCATAATTTCCTCTATTTAGATTCAGGACTCTTGTTTCAGGATCAACTACCTCTTGATGATGAATTCTATCATATAACGGTCAATCATCCCCAAGGGGCTGGCCACATCTAGATTGCCAATTATTCCTTTCTCATTACACAAGATCCAGTCAAGGATGGTCTGTTCTCTATTTGGTTTCTCAATGTATTGGTCCAGAAAACTATCCCGTATACCTTCAGGAATTCCTCCTCTCGAGAATTGTCACTAATATGCCTAATCCATATTCAGATTAAAGTCACCCATAATCATATGTTCCTTTCTGGCATGCAGTACTTGTTTCCTGTTTGCTATTTCCAACATCACTCCTACATACAACCCCTACTCATGTCTTTGGCCCCTTGGTTTTTCAACTCTGAAAGCCAAATCTGTAATCATTTAAGCCAAGGAGACACTGAAGTAGCATGAATTTATCTCAGCACTCTGATCCTTTTTTCTGAAAGGAATTCAAAATGTTAAATACAAAATCAGATACTGAGGAAGTGGCCATTCAGCCAATCACAATTGCACCAGCTTTCCAAATGAGGATCCCACCTACCGCTCTTCTGGTGATAACCAATACAATGCTCTGCCCTCTTGGTGCATCCACTCGGAACAAATTGAATGATCATCCCATTTGATTAGCTTTCAATGTGCCAGTGAAAAGAGTGCAAACAATTCTAACTTCTGTCATATTCAACCAGGAGTGGTTCTTTCCCTCTTTGTAACATTTCCAAAATTTAGATGGGAATATGCAATCTGTTGGGTGCAGATACTTTTTCCCTTAAGTTCAACTAACTTAAAATGCTCTATCTTTCTCTCACTGAATCATGCTAAGGTTATGCTTCCACTGATGGCTGCAGTCTACATTTACCTTCAGTGACAGTTCCAATGCTCTACAGCGACTGATTTAGCTGAGGAAGAACAGGACAATTGAATCTAGCACTGTCTTTCAACACAACAATGTATGTTTTGGTTTGAACAAACTTGGAAGCTTTGCCTTGAACAGTAAAGAGCAGATTGCACAAGGATGTGAAGGGAGAGGAAAATGGAAGAGCTAGAAATGCACACGAGCACCTTCTGGTAATGTACAAATAAAAATACAAGATTCCTTCTTAAAAATGGCTGGCCTCAATGGAAAGGAGATATTGGGTCAGTTCAAAGTCAAAAAGGGTAATGCAACGAAAGATTTCAATTGACAGCAGGAACAAATTACAGGATGATAAGAGAGTGATTACACTGGATTGGAAATAACAGCCCCAGGTTACTAAGTCAAGAAGAAAACAAAAATCATTTGTTTGCAATAAACCTGAAGATCATCTGTGACTGGTAAAATGGAGCTAACATGGTACAAAAGGAGATGCTAATCGCTGGATTTTTCTTTTCAGGAAGTGATGCAATGGAAACCTTCTTGAATATCTATATCTAAACTCCCACGAACTCTATAACTTGCTTTACATAACCCAACGTGTGCAAGAACTTCTCAGGTGTGTTATCAGACCAAAAACCCACAATGTAAAAATTAAGGTGTTCAAAAATTTGGCCAAACAGCTATGTTTTGGGGAGTGTCTTCAAGGATAGAAATGTAGAGAGGAGAGAGATCTAAGGAAGAAATTCAGAAAGATTAGGACCTTGGCAGCTCAATGTAAGTAAGTAGAATGAAGAAACAAACTTATCACTTAGATTGTAAAAAAAATTTCACAGCAGTAACAGCAAGAACTGGTGGACAGAATAGTGCAGGAGAATGCTGTGAAATCACTCCAAAGGAGGTGGCATTATGCAGTGTTGGGCAGATTAGGTTTATAGCAAAGAAAGACAATGCAAAAGCTGACAGACCGGCCTATGGCGAAAGTTTGCATCGAAAGCTGAATATTTAAGAACTGTATTCAAGTTTATCTTGTAAAATTTAAAACCCACATACCTGCATTAGGTTCCTTGTTCCTAATCATCCCAATGAAGACTGCAACTTTGACCTGGCCATCTTCCCAAGACTAGAATTTGAATTTGTAATGTCGATTCACAATATTTCACCTTCACTACAGGCACAACCACAGCTCCAGCTTTGGAGCTTTGAATTTCAGCAAGCATTAACCCTCGTCCCATGAACAAATTTGAAAAAATAGATCAGACATGGCAAGATGTTGAGATTCAAGTTTCCCACCTTAACCAATGTCAGCACAAGACAAAATTAAAATTAATCTCAGACTAATTATTGACACTTTGGTGAAACATTACTAGTTTATCTTAATCTACTGTAAATAGATAATAAAAGCTTGGATTTATTCTGGAAGTGTTTTGCTGCAGCTTCTCACTGGTGAAAATTGCTTCACATCGACGTGTGCAAAGGCCCACACAGCATGCAATCATTAATTGAGCAAAGATGTCACGGTCACAAAACATTTCAATGCAAACCATATTTATCATAGGGTCTCCATCACTCTGCTGCTGATTTTACGAATGCACAAATTAGAAGCAAGAGTTGGCTCTCAAGCCTGCCCTGCCATTCACTCAGATTATGGCCAATCTTTCCAGTTTATCCACAATATTCCTTTCCGCTACGCTTTTTCAGTTTAAGAGTCAGACGTGTCACATCACTGAACCGAAGCAGAGCATGCTTGTGGAATGGGGTTTTCTCAGTTCAAGGCAGCATATAAATGCAAACTGATGTTAAAATCATCAGGGGAGCTCCAACAAAAGTTGCTGCTGGCAAAGAATCCAAAGCCAAATGGCACGACAATATCAAAGACAGAACTGTCCACTAACTGGGTCTAACAAATGTCTCCCACTTCTTAACAAGTGCAAATTGGCACCAATGTACAGAGAGGAATCCATATCAATCTCATTATCAAAGCAAGCAATCAGTTTTGGCACAACTCTCCAGTACATTTCATCAGTTGTAAGACACCACTACACAGCAAATAATTAAAAAAACTGTGATTAAACAGAATGGAGCTGTTCAGTATGATGGCCCAATGACCATTTTATTTATTGACTGTTAATAACTGCTACAGTTTAATACCAACAAGGCCGTGCAGTTAACAAACCCGAATGCAAGTCAATTGGTCCTTCACAAACCTAGTTCATGTGATTTTTGCCTGGAATAGAATTCCCCTGAGGTGAATGGTTTTCTTTAAAATGCTGACGCAGTTCAAACAGAAAATAGAGACTTTATCCCTTTTCTTTGTGGCCTGCTCAGGCTGCATTTATTTTCCCCAGCTTATCCGTCTGAAAACTCACTCCCATCCCACACGGAAGCCTGCAAGTGCAGGTTCCCGCTGATGAGTTCAGGGAGGCTAAGTGGGTAGAGCCCTCCATCCCAATCTCCCAGGCTACAGTACCAAATGTGGGTGGGTGGGTGGATGACGGGGTGCGGGGGGTGTAGAATGCTCCACACGAACAGTCTTGCTCCATCGGAAAGTTTGTTTTGTCTTTTACTCACTTAATTGACGGAGCATGTGCACAAGCAGGAGATTCAGTTTTGGGGGAAAAGAGAACTGGGAGCAAACACATGAACACCATCTTTGGCAATACCTCTTTTCAATGTGATTCATCTGCTACAATGTCCAATGAACTACTAGGAGGAAAACGTAATAGTCCCACATGAACCAGTTAACCACGGCAACTGGAATCAACAGCA